CTGACGGAGGTCACGGGAAGTTTGTATCTACTTTAATAATGATCAACTGACATTAGTGGAAACCTAAGGCCTGCCTCATCATCCCTTTTTGCCATTTACAACAACCCTGAGGATATATACTACATGCATTTAACAAAGAAAAAACAGAATAAAGAAGGTGTTTGGAGAACAGCATAGGAGAACGTTATCAAGTGGGTAACTAGAAGCTCTACTCCAAGGTTCTGATTCCATAATAGAGCTCATTCCATTAGCCCATGGCTCATCTATTCCTAGCTATAATGATCTTCCCAAGTTTTATCACACTCTTAAAAGTCAAGAAAAGAGTCAAAGGGGTGAGTGAACCCTGATTAAGAGGAAAGCAAGCTTTTCCTCTCCAAGCACAGCCCCACAGTTGGCACCCTCAAAACAAGCTCTGAATCAGTGCATCCCTCTTTCTCCATTGGGGGGCCAGTAATAGGTCACTCTAATCAACTCTTTATTCAACCCTCTTCTCTATTAGAAATCACAATCTCCTAAACCCATCCAGCAAAGCTAACTCGCCCTCCCATTCTCCCACTGCACTGAAGCATGCTTACAATTGCAAATAAGACTGCATGAGCCAGCACTGAGCATCTAAATAACGTATCATAAAGACTTGGGCTGGAGCTGAAATAGAAACAGAATGTTTTCCAACACTGATGGGCACTTCTTCCTTTTCCATTTGTAGCAAGAAAATTGACAATATCATTTAAATAAAAAATGTGCTTATATTCACCTTTACAAAAACTTCAATTGTTCTCTTCCATCTTTGCAAACTTGGCAAGACTTTAATAGTTTCATTTAAGAATAACTTATGGCTGATAGGTTTTTCTTAGTGCTTTAAGGCTCTAATTAAATTCCTTCTCTGTATATATCCCCTAAGACACTCATAAAATAAAAGTAAAAATATATTTATATTGTATTTTCGAATTTTCATACACAATTCTTTCATTTAGGCTACTACCCATACTATCATTATAAGAACTCGTCTGTGAAAATATGTTCCAACTAAAGCTTGGTGGTCTTTGAATACTCGATAAAAATCATTCTCTGAAGCTAATGAAGACAGAAACTCTGCCTGTAACAATATTAAGTTTGTTTTCTCTGGTGATTCAGAGAAGTGAGCAATCTGTCAGTAATACATTGAGTGAAATTACTTGTCTGGTAGGAATAACTGCTGACAGTCACTTTATATCAGGGCTGACCCAAACATCTCCCTGCTGACAAACAAATTACTATGTCTAACTTCGAAAAGGTAACTAGCTTGTTTTAATTTTGATTGGTCTTTCAGAATCCCTTATACATATGTTCAATACCATCCTTCATTGTATTTTTTTTTTTTTAAGGCAACAAAAACTGTTTGGGGGCAAACAGGTTTGAATTAATAACAACGAAAAAAAAAAAAAACAGTAAAGAAAAAAACCCTACTATTTGGAGTCAGAAAAAAGAACTGCTCTGTTTCTTTCCAAGACTGCTCTGTGGATGAAACTGGTAAGTGTGTCTACCCAACATTAAGACTGGCAGTGCCGCCAGTGACTGACTGGGTGAGTGAACACATTACCGAGACAGTATTGTAGGAATTAATTTTCTTCAATAAAGTGATTTTTAAGGCTCATATATTTCACAATCTAAACATATGTCACTGTTTCATAAACAAAATAAATGGATTAAAATAATACATTACCAATATGCTGACACGTGGAGATATTTTAATTAGAAATTCTTAAGCTGTGTGATATTTAACTGCTGTATTTGCTGAAGAGAAGCATGCATCATTTAATAAGAAGGCGTGAGGCAGGTGTATCACTTTGCATATGGTACCAGACTGTGTTTAATATAAGCTCCAACTATGAGGCGACATTACTCCCGATTAAAAACAAAACAGAACAAAATTACTTTAAGGACATATCATATTGAAAATAACCACATAAAATGAATCAATACACTGAAAACCACTTTTTCATTAAAAAAAAAAAAAACCATTCACAGCCTAGCTCCTGAGATGACATTTTTTCAGAAACGATCTATCATCTTAGCTACTGAAAGGCCATATTTACATGGCTGTCTCATTATCAGGGTCCCCTTTGCTTGGCATTCGTTTCGACTTACTTAAGGACCAATACTAACATAGCTGAGGAAAGCAAATGGCAACTGGTCCTGAAATTTATAAGGGTGAGAGATCTGGAATAAGTAGCAATATAATATATTGTTTACTGTAGCAAGTGCCCTCTGTTCTCTAAAGGTCAAAAGCATTGTAACCTCAGAGTTGTAGTTTCTGATTGTTCCCAGGGTTAAATACATTATCAAAATTAATGGTTCAAGCCCCTCAGCCTTCAGATACATGAGTATTCATGCCTCCATCTGCTGAACTGTTCAACTAAAATAGCATTCTTTGGCCTACTCTTCTAATATTGTGCCCCTGAGGCAGAGAAAACCATGCTTTAGATCAGCACAGTAGAATTAAAAAATGGTCTTTCCTGTGTCTTCCTAATTTTAAAGAAAAACTTGAACATCCTGATATAAGGAGGGTATTTCCATGTTAAATACCTTTTTCCTACTAGCTAAAACTTCAGGCTTCCAGAGTATAATTATAAATGTTAAGATGTACCCAGGCTGATTTCATGAGAAATGACACCCTTTGAATCGTGACATTAGGTAGAGAGGTTTGGTTCTGAGAGATGCAGTGGGCAGGGGGAGGGGTGGAATAATGTGAGGTAGGCATTTCCTCCTACGAAGCTCTGTTTAGAAATAAACTCAATGAACATAATTGAGATGCTTCATTAGTATCAATAGTGTATCATGATCATGATTATTGACAGAGCCGACATTTTAGACTGTCAAAGGAAGGGAAAAAAATAAACCCTAACTAGAGAAAAAAAAAAAAAGGCAGAATTATAATAGTAATAAAGCAAGATATTAAATTTCTCTCTACCTTTGCTCAAGATTTAAAATGTTACTGTCTTACAGCTTAGACATGGCTTTCAACTGTACTGTAAACGGACAGCCCAGTACACACACTAAACTCACACCAGGAAAGTGAGAAGCTGCCATTCAGACAGAGTCAGTCTTTTCTAACCAGTGTACCACACAAGTAAACAGATGAGCACTTTCCGGACATGTGGAGAAAAGGTACAAAAAAATAGAAGCAGGAAAACAGAGCAAGAATAAACAAAACCCAGGAAACTCGAACCAGCCCAACTTCAACTGCAAAGTTATAGAGATTCCTCTTTTAATGGTTCCCTATTTAGCCTAATGAAAGTGACAGACATGCGGCATGTGGTTGCTTCTAGCGCAGCCCTGCTCCAGCACTACCCAGCTCTGGAACTCACCTGGACCACACCATGGTTTTCAGACACCCAGGGGTCCGTGATGGTGCAGGGGGGAGGAGGAGAGAGCTGACCCAAGTGACAAATTAGGCCAAAGAGACTGGGTAGAAACCTGGCTAAGGGCGGATCAATGTGTTAGCATACAATACCTCCACACAAAATAGAAAGAGCAGAGGAAGTCTTGAGTTCGAGCCAAAGCTGCCTGCTTTCCCATCCTCTCCCAAGAACGTAAAAGCCTCTCAAACTGGTTACCCTGAGTGGGCAACCTTGCTAGCTGCCACGGCACAGCATAGCTTGTTTCTAACGTCCAGCTAACCACTCTTATTAGCTCTTCTGGGTAGAGTAGATTTTTAGAATGCCAAGAAATGCGTCGCCCTCTCTATACCCAAAAGAAAGTCTTAAGAGAAAACTCATCTGACTGTATAGAGCACAGCAGCGCCTTGGACCGTGAGTGTCTAGCGGTGTCCGAGCAGAAACCCCTGCCTACCTCTCATCAGGGTGGAAGGAGCGAAGGAGGCAGCGAACCAGCTGACCCTTGATCATGTCCTTCACCTCCTTCTTAGGAGTGGTCGTTCCTAGCATTTTCCAAAAAGACCAACTCAAAAGCAGCAGAGAAGATAATATCAAAGGCACTCTTTATTGATTAGTGTTTGATATAGACAGACTGGCAGAGCCAGTAGGACCTGAATATACAAATATACAATAATTCCATATGTTCTTTTGGGCAGGCAAAGCTTCCCAGACTCAGTTGGAATGTACAATTTGGTGTTAGAGCCAACTTAGAAAATGAAAATGTGTTTCAGTCTGAGGAAATATATATAGCTACAGTATAGTTATAGATAAAGCTATAGATCCCCAACAGATAGCTGACAGATAAGAACTCCAACAATCAAGGAGAAGTATTAAGCATGAAATGGAGAAGAAGAGGACTGGGTCCCTACAGTAGAAAAGGACTTGCTTTTCAAAAGAGCCATATGAGCCATCTTCTCCCAACCAATAAGAACATTCCAGAAAAACACCAAAGACCTTAACTGGAACGTTAAATAGGGAAGGATTGTACAGAAGTTAATGGGACAAAAAGCAACCAGCTAAGCCCAAACACCCACCTCTACTTCAGCCTGAGAAAACAAAGTTAAAAAACCTGAATTGGGTAATTAGAAATCCAGGGTAATAACTATGACTCAGTAAATATTTTAAAGCCTCAGTTAAATAACATGATTTATGTGAGCCTTGGCCATTTTATCTATATAAGCAGAAATATATTTTATCAAATTTACAGGGTTACTATACAATTAAATGAAATATATAAAAAAAAGTTTGAGTATTTTTTTAAACAATATACAACACTATACATAAGAAAAGGCAAAAGAATGAAGAAAAAAAGATTGTTTCAAAGACAGTCACAATGTAAAATGTTTGCCTGAATATATATATAGCAATAACAGCCTAATTCAGGGGAATTGGTCTGGGCTTGGTCTTTTTCTCTGGGGAAAAACCAACAACAACAACAAAAAGAACCCTTCTTAGGAATGAGAAAAAGGAAAGGATTTGGTTTTAGTGTTTAGGTTGAGTGTTTGCTGTTTTATTAAAAAGCCTAGATTATGACTGAACAATCCAGTCCCCCACCCAATGAAGCACCAATGGAAGCATTCATACCTCAATCTGTTTGTGGTTGTAAGAGTGGCCACCACCATGTTCAAAGGTGTCCAAATTCCTGCCAAAACGGTCACTTAGGCCCTTTAGCCTTGGGTTAATTTGTGGGTGGGAGACATGACCCTTCTGTTTAGTAGCATATTCAGAAAAAAAAAAAAAAGACAAAACATACTGTCAGAACTCATGAAATAGCACACACATTTCTAAATCCAGGGTATTGAGCACATCAAAGAACGGAAGGAAGAAGGTTCAAGACCGCCTCTCTCTTTTACATTAAGTTGATTACAGGATCAAGCAATGGTACTGGCTTCTGATTTCTGCCTCTGACTCAAGAAGATACTCTACAGCACAATCATAGGGAAAGGAGAAATAGATTAGATTAACCAATAGTAAGGGTTCTTTTTAGACTTTTTAACTAGCTGCAGGAGTTCAGGATTAGCAGCATGGAAGGGAACGGTTTGTAGGAGAGGTGGGGTTGTGCTCCTGTTAGGCATGGTCTCTAGCTCTGCCTGGTAGTTAATGGGTAACGTCCTCATGGCTTCTTTTATGAGGCTTATCATAAAAAGTTCTCAAAGTAATTTATTTTCAGACCCAATGGAAAACATTCAAAATGATTTGTGGGAGTAGAGGGCATTTTTGTTTCTATTTTATTTATTTATTTTGTGTGTGTGGTACAGCAGTTGTATACTTGTTATGTCCAAGTCATATAAGAAATAGCAGAACAGAAATAAAAGTGCTTCACCACATGCTACTCCTAATTTATTTAAGAACACTCAAAAATAATCACAGTAAACTTTAAGAATGAGAGTTACCTTCAGTGTTCTACGGTATTGAAATTCAGATAATTATTATGTATTTTCTAAATATTCAGATGCCAAAAGTTTGAATGTTTTTTCTTTTAAGAGAGATTTTTTTTTTTTTTTGCTATAATGCACTTGCTGGAGAGACAGAGACAGACAGAGAGATAGAAAGCGAGAAATCACCCCCCAGGGGGGATGGCCACACCGCAATCCTTTCTCCTCCATTCTCCTCTCAGGACTTTGGGCATGCACACACATGTGCCCCACATGAGTTTCAAGCCACCAGGTGAGGAACTAGAATGGGAGTCAACCACGTAGGAGTCCAGCACTTTAACTACTACGCCACCTGCTGGCCTCAGTTCAACTGTTATTTTAATCATCTTTTCTTCTTGTTTTTATTTGGGTTGTCAGAAAGTCCTGATGCTTTTTTTTTCTATGTTTTACTATGCAAAAGTATATCAGACTTTTTTTTTTTTGAGAGGTTTTTTGTGCTCGCCAGAAAGACAGAGAGAGACAGAGAGAAAGAAAGTGAGAAATCACCCCCTAGGGGGGATGGCCAGGTCACAATCCCCTCTCCTCCATTCTCCTCTCTGGATCTTGGGCATGCACGCACACACGCCCGGCATGAGTTTAAGCCACCAGGTCCAGGACTCAATCCATGGTCGACTACAAAAATATGGAACACTTCACAAATTTGCATGTCATCCTTGCACAGGGGCCATGCTAATCTTCTCTATATCGCTCCAATTTTAGTATATGTGCTGCCAAAGCGGGTACCATCAGACTTTTCTGACAACCCAATATATAAATTCATATTTAAAGTCAATTTCCCATTAAATGGCGGTACTAACAGGATATAAAGATCGATTCCCAGTTCAAATGCCTTGATTTACTGAGAAGAGAAGGTGCAAACAATTTTTCATCCAGTTTCAAAAATATTTTCTCCCCAAATTTAGCTGTATAAGTAAAGAAAACTACTCCAGAACTTGGTCAGACATCACGCCCAGACTTTTGACCTTGGAAAGGACAAGGTACATATATTCAGGAGCAATGTGTTTACATTTTACCAAATCATCATCAAGTTTTTGTGAACGACCATCCCTTATTCTATGAGCTACCACATCATTTACTACTTTGATGCTTCTATATAAAAGGAAATCAGGACATAAATGTGGAGGCATGTATAAAAATTGATAAGGAAAAGTTAACAGATCCAATATCAACTAATCATAAAACACTGTAAACTATTCTCTTTTCCATAGAGAACACATGGTACTAACTCATAATGTCATTTTTCCTTTAAAAATATTGAAACTGACAGTTCTCTCTCTTACTTGCAGTATGGTAAGTACATAAGGTGTTAATCCTTCTGGGCTACGCTTAAACAATGATTTAACATTCAGGCCATTATTTAGCATACAGCTGGTTAGCAGTTTTCCACTAAAGTACTGGCTCCTAGCCCACATTTTTTTCTTCTGGCACTTACCTGGAGCTGTAAAGGGCTGAGTCCAGAAGCAGCAGCAGCTGCCATTGTTGATGGAATGAACTGTACAGGGTAGTTATCACCTGTCGGAAAGAACAATGCATGCAGGTTTAGACAATGCACAGGGAATCGCTGCAGACAAGTACAAACATGGTCCTTGGATTGCCTGAGCTTTACAACATTGCTCTAAGCCCAAACATCTGCAGAAACAAAAGGCTTAGCTGGGCACAGACTTGCAGTGCTGCCTTGGAACTTTTTGTTAACAGATAGCTGGTGGGCAAACTGGCAAAACATGAATGTGATGTTAAAAAAATTAAATGTGCAATTCAAGCATGTTCACTCCATTACAAATCTTGTAATACATCATTTTTTTAAGAGTAAAAAAATATCTTAAAGCCAGGCTGACACTCAGTACACAGTGAAAGCACTGAGGCTTTTGTATTAGAACAATCAAAAGTGTTGGCTTGGTAGGCAAGGCAGAATATTCAAGTCCAAAAGAATACTAAATTATTGACTGTCCACAATCCTAAGTTTTATTTCATTAAAAATTTTTAAAAAATACAACCTCCTCAATAAGATATGGGTGAGGGCATTCCGTGAAATGCTTGATATTCCAGTGGGAGCAGAAGCCATCTTTTTCTGGACTAGCCCCTGGTTCTGTACCGATGAAATCCAGCTAGAATCATGCCTAGGAGGCACCTATCAAATGATCTCTGACGACCAGTTGACTAAGTAGCCACACATTTTCCCTGAGATGCCTGCACTAAAAGCCCGGTAGTGACTGAGTACAGTTCAGCAGAGATCAGTGCTCTGACTGCAGAACATTCCTGAATCCAGGGACTGCAGGACCTCCTGCAACCTAGGAATACAGGCTAGGAGCGGTGATCTGAGGAACCAAGAAGAAGATGAAGAACACACGGTGATAGTGGCAACTACAAGAAAAAATCATATTTGTGGATAAATTACACGACATCATTGATTTAATGGAGTATCTCACTTTGGCTTCAGCAACTTATTTAAAGTCGGTGTTAGGTACTTTCTCTAGGCTATATTTTAATAGGCTGTTCCTCCGCACATTTTTGACGTTTGTAATAATCACACTGTTTTGCATGAACTTTTCCACACTGAACGCTGAATGTAATCATGAAGAGACAGGGTAGAAAGTCACAGTAATAAAGGTAGTCAGCTGGACAGCAATGAGACCTCTTTCTTTTTCCTTCATGGACACTAATACCTGGAACCCTTCCTGGTGTCCTGGCTCCGTGGAACGCATCCTGCTCGCCATGTAAAGTGCTCCTCGGCGGGTCCGATGGAAATGTTAAGTTGCTTTCACTTTTAACAAATTGTTAGCTTCTAATCTACACAGTCTCTTTGCATCATATCCATAATACCTCATCAGACCATTGAGCACAGCGTGTGCCTGTACACAGTCCAGTAACAATTGGCTTCTGATTGCATATGGAGCGCTGCTACAATGCATTCACTAACACTATATTGTGCTGGTCTCCTATGGAGTAATGTTCAAAATATCTGATCTTGTTTTTCTCCTTCCATGAGGTTGATTTTGGTTTGCAGTATGAGCTTTTTAAAAGAGATAACTAGGTCAAATTATTTTTTATAGTAAATGACTGTCACTTTATGCTTAAATAATTCTACTGATCTTCTTGATATTTAAACTAAATTATCTGAAGACAGACTATCCTAATCTAAGTCAAATAGTATTTCTTCGGCCAATATCTTATCAGGTTAAAAAAAAAATCACAAAATGATGCTGAATTAATGATGCTTCAAAAATAGGGGGGAAAAATCATCATTCCAACCATCAACATGGACTGCCTCCTGGAACATTTTAGAGCTGTTCTTTCTTTAAATATCATGCATTATTCATACTAACTCTAAACCACAGCCCCCTCCCTGTAAGTTTAATACCAGTTGCTTTATTTGTACTAAAACATTTTTCATGTCAAACATATTTTAAAAAATCAAACTCTAAAAGAATTCCCTGGGGCACTCCTTTTTTCATAGCTGTCATGCTTCTATGCTATGAAATAGCTGATTTTTTTTTATAGTTTTTGGCTTGCCAGTTAATTTATTACTATCTCTACCACACCCTGTAGTACTCTCCAGCTCACCTGCTGGCTACAAACAGCTTTCTTTCCACTGCTGACAAGCATATTTTTAAAATGTTTTTAACCTTCTTTTGGTTTGCATCTGTATATCTGAATATATCATCTTTAGAGAGCTATTTCTCCAGAACATATCATAGTATCAATACTAAAAGTAAAAATGAAAACATTAGAACAAAGTATATCACAGAGAATGATTAAGAAGAGGAAAAGGAAAGGGCAGGGGAGAGAGAAGATGGGGGAAGAGATGAAGGTTAAAAGTAAAAGAAACATTTAAGAGGGAGAGGGATTTAAGGATACTGTGAAGTTCAGTTTGTTAATAACAAAGTTACATGCTTTCTCCAACCCTCTCTAATTTTCTCTGTGTAAGAATATATCAAGAAAAGGTTCTCAGAGGCTGACTTGGCAAGGAATCAGTCAACATGTTGTAGCAATTTTTTTCAGATTTGTCGCTGGATTTGAAATGCTTGCGTGAGGACCCGTTCTTTTAAAATTTGTACAAAAGGAGAAGCTTGTTGGAACAGGTTGGCTTGAGCTCCTACTGTAATCTGGCCCTTGCTACTACTGGTATAAGAAGACAACCTCCAAAATCCAATGTAGAAAATAATCCCCATTCTGTAAGTCCATCTTTCCAGGCTTCTACCTAGGCCACATGTCAGTTTTTTTATGAAATTACAGAAAGAAATACAAAACAGCATTTAAAGCCTATGGAAAATTTGCTTGGTCTTAGTTTTATTTGTCAGAATAGGCAACATTCCTTTAAAATCAGAGCACCTCCACCGTAAGAGTTCCTAAATGAGAAAAAGTAAATTCTTAAATTTTCAGACACTAAAATGAAGCCAAAACTCAGCAGGACTTAATCACAGGAGTACTTGAAGTAAAACAAAACAAAGCAGTACCCATTTTAGACTCAGACTACCTCCTGAAAAAAATACTCTTAATTCAGATATTAATTCTATTTTTCCAAAACAGTCAAAAATATGAGTAAAATTCTGTCCTTTTGCTTTCATTCTTCAGAAAAGTAATAAGAGGCTAGGGTAACTACAGTATCCTGAGATTTTCATGTTCAGATATTAACACGCTGGGGAAATCATTTAGAAAGACTGGGGGAAGTCATTTAGAAAGACTGGGAAAAGTAGAGAAGAAAACAATGTAGAACTAGAAGACAGAACTTGAGCTTTCAGAAACTGCCCTAACATGGGATTCTGGTTGTATACCTCATCATTTCTCACTCTCCAAAACAAAAGGAAATACGCCACACACTTCTAACTATCTCATGAATTATTGTGTAGTGGCATCAATGGGTGATGATAAGTTGTCAGACAAAATATGGACCCCACCTTTATGAGTGATCACCAGTTTTGCCACAATATGGGAATATCTGGATCACAACTACCCATGCAAACTTGGTCATCCCATTCTGCAGGTCTTGCTTAGATGTAAACATTCAGCATAGTAAAACAGCGTGGCTATGAGGGAATGCATGTGAGGGAAGGTATCTTTGTGTGACACCACACTAAAGCAAAGATTAGCAGATAATAGCTGACACATTTACAATGCTAAAATGAAAAAGTCTTCAGTTTATTCTGAGGACAGATGGATAAAAAAAAAATAGCAAGGAATATAAAATCTATGGGTGAGATTACCATGCTCTTAATTCTCCTGTTAAATGTGTCCTCTATTTATCAAAGAATAGACCAATTATGAAAAAAAAGTCTTGGCCTCAGGACATTCTCTAAGATCATTTGCATTATTTTGCATACCTGTAAAGAAGGTAAGGATCAAGGATCAATCTTAATTTCTTTACTTATTTCATAGCTGCATTCAGACGCTTGGCCAATCATTTGAAAATCGATGGAATTTGTCACAATGGCAATTAATGAGAATAAATGAACTGATATAAATCCATCCCCATTACAAGAAACCAACTCACAAAGACAACTCAAAGTTCATGCTTTAATGATAGCTCATCAATGACATAGCCTCCGCGTATGAAAGAGGGTTCAGTTAAAACAATTCTTGACCTTCGTAAAACTATGTTAGTTTACACAAGTTAATAGATTTTCTTTCTGGATACAATACTCTCATTTTAAAACAAGGGTACTAATCTGAAGAACTGCAGAAATGTCTGGATTCCAAGCAGACAGATTTAATTAATTAAGTATTCCAGAAGGGATTACGCACCTCTGCTTTATAATATTATGGAGGAGATGTAATGGCTGGCTTTACAAGATTTCATTTGGAAAACTCCACACATATAAATCTTTTTTTTTTCACTGCAGAGTCAGATACTCTTAAGATAATATGCACTTAGACTATGTCCCTGAGAGTGTGGAATATCAAATCAAAGAACTTCAGTCTGAATTCTATCTCCACTATTTTCTATAACGAAACCCTAAGAAATGTTTATTAACTTTTTAAAATTTTAGTTTTTATTTTCTTTCTCCCTCTCTCCCTCCCTCTCTCTCTCTATTTCTCTCTCTCTCTCTCTCTCTCTCTCTCTCTGTTAATTTGCCAGATGAGGAAAGCACCCACCAGAGAGAGGGAGAGGGAGAAAGTACCCTCTATGGGGTGTGACCACACTACAATCCCTTCTCTTCTATTTCTCCATCCTGTCAAGATTTGAGGTGCACACCCACACTCACATGCCTGGCATGTTGCTTAAACTGCTGGGTCCAGGGCTTAAACTGTGCCATCAGCCACATGAGTTCCAGTTCCCTTAATCACTAGGCCATGGGGCCAATCTGAACTTTACTTTTTCTCTTAATGTAAGAGATTATAGCACTTACTACCTTATATCTAAGAGTGATTGTGAAAATTAAATGACACTGTATACATGTACATATACACAGACATACTTATGTCTGGGGAGTATCTTGGCAAATAGGTGGTACTCAGCAAATGCAAACTGAAACAAATAAATTATTGGGTTGTCAGAAAAGTCAACAGCACATTTT